AAATAGTCTGTTTTAGACAGTAACTATTACAAATTACTCAGTAATTGATTGATTACAAATCTGGGGAACATATTTTTGTATGCAAGACTTTTACTTGTGACAGTATGTCTACACTATAATATTCTACTTTTATTTTATTAAAAGATGTTAATACTTCATCCAAATCTTTTATCTCTTTTATAGTTCCCAAGATCTAAATGCAGGAATTTCCGAGAGAGACATTAACAAAATAAAAGGCAATTGAAAATAAAAAATCTTTAAAAGGATATGTCAGATTCTTTCAAGTATTGCAAAAGACATCGGTAAAGTAGATGATGATTATTACAATAGAGGCAATAGTGGCTTTTTGCAAACCCTAGAGAGCTGCAGTGTGAAGAACCAACTGTGCCTCTTTCCACTCTGTGATCAGGGTGACTGTTGAAGCATACAGAACATTTTCCAGGCTTCAACTCCCAGGTGTCTTGTAGCCCCAGGATTCCACGCAAGTAGTCAGCCAGGCTGCCTTGGTGAATGCACTAATGTGACACCATAATCGCACACAGGTGCATTTGTGTGCTTCACAGAGCAAAGCAGCGGGCTGTTAGTGGAAGCAGGTGCATGCACTGGTGTGTGTTGCGTAAACTGTACATTTGATTTGAGTGTATGAAAGTACTGCATCATGTTTACATTTAGTGTGTAAAAAAAAACAACCTCATCACTCAAATAAAACAACAAAATTAAACCATGCACGCTTTTGCAAGTTATGCCTTTACTTTTTTAGTGAATGAAGCTTAAAGGTGGGGTAGGTCATTTTGGAGAAACCAGCTCGAGTGTGCTAGAATTTGAAAATACACAACCGGAAAAAATCTGCCACTTCGTTACAGAGTCCCTCCTCCAACACACACGAACGCGCACATGACCAATGAGGGCACGAGATAAGTTTTGCGCACAGATGGAAGGCTGACAGGCAGGTAGGCCATCCAGTTATTTTAGCCGGGCCGGCTAAAATGATTGGTCGTGCTTTTTACCGTACTACGGCTTCCACAGATGACATTTTTGTTAAAGCACTTAAGATATTCATTGCTATCGGGATGTTTAAGAGCATTCCATGGAATATAACAAAAGGGTATCTCGAGCCGGTTTCTCAAACTTACCTACCCCACCTTTAACAGAGGGCACTGCAGTGGGAGTCAGATCTGAACAGACACCTCCCACCTGCTCTGTATTACACACTTATGATGAGCCACACACACACACGCACAGTCACACAGACACAATGGGTTGCCTTCCCACCAGTCCAATAACAGGCCTATTTATTAGAGTCTCTTACAGACGGTATTGACAACCTGCTGACACAGTCACTCCAGCAATGAACAAATGGAGCAATAGAGAAGAGAAAGGAAAGGAGGGGAAGAAGTGAGAGAGCTGTTATAATGGCATGACGGAGGAGTGCTCTCCACAAACCAGGAGTGAGCAGGACATAAAGAAGAAGTGAGAAGAAAACAAATGCTTCTTCTATTGCCAATTATACCTATCGACATGCATAGACCCACATCATCACATACTAACAATACCGTTTTCTTTCAGATGAGTTTTACTGTGACCTTGCAAATTAGATCACTTCTGGGATATGTGATCTATTTTAAATTAGGATTATGGGAATCATTCTTTCTCAATGAGTGCAGTGCCACATTGAGGAGCTATTGAAAGGTAAACTGGGTTCAAGTGCAGTGAACTCATCACAAAGCACCAATCACAATCATCCAGACGCTTGACAGAAGAAAATGTTCTGAATGAAAACAGAAATATTCTGCAGAACAACTAGCTGCCAATTTAGAGCCAGTGTCCCTGATGCTATGAAAACAAAGAGTACACACATTGAGTTTTAACTAAACAACCAATTTAGCCTTGAGTTTGCAGATAGTTAAGAGAGAATTACAGTTCACAGGTGCCAATGTTTCACTGCGAAAGGCTCAAATTCATTTTGCACCAAAGTCTTCCAGTTATATCTTGAATATGCAAATACGCCGAACGGAACAAACTGTGCCATGCATACCAAATATCTTGCTCATTAAGAGCTATAATTACTGTGTCATTTTGACATAAACAAAGAGAGCAGAGCAGTCATGAAGAAAATGGGAGTGAAAAACTGCTAACGTGCTCAAAGACACATTCTCCTGTGTCTCTTTGAGCTGACCTGTGGGAACCAGGTGAGTGCAGGCCCTTTAGAGGAGGGGGGGGGGGGTTGCAGAGCTCGTTGAATAGAATGAGCAATCACTATGCGGACAGGTGAACAGATTTTATGAAGACAGATGGGGCTGTAGTGGGCACACAGACAAAAAGACAAAGAGACATATAGACTGCACGGCCCTGAGCTCCGGAGGTCAGCTCTGACTTCAACAGACAAGAGAGGTAAGACAATTCAAACAAGAACTCATCATGACTGAGGTTCCCCAAAAAACTTTGGGATGGAGGTGACAAAATGTCTCAGGAATGTTTGTCCGACCATCATCATGCGTCACTTTGGGTGACAGTGAGAAGACATGATAGACGCTTCTTATCTAAAGCGGATTCCATACAGGAGCTCCCTCCAGGCGAGCTGAAACGGTGGGAGGATTTTTTTAGACAACATGGCGGCTAATCACAATGACACCACAGTCAATCGAGAAGCTCTACGTCAACGGGAGCCCGGCGATCATGTTCTCCATTCGCTTTCCATTGTTCTCTTGCAGCTTGGCTCTGTTGTCTGCCTAGATAACGCACAAACATTTTATACGCAAACGCATACACTGCATCAGCAGCAGCAGCCCCATACCCCCAACTCGGTGCAGAGCACATGTCAGGCAGAGAGATTTGCTGGCTGCACGCGGCTTTGTATAGAGCTCACGGTCCAGCACAACCACACATCCGTTGCTATTATCAGCATCAGGACTGTCATCGCTATCACAGCGGCCAAAGACCTCTGCCAGGGGCCCGGGTTGCCTACAAAGCTAGTTATCATGGACTAGTGAATACAACGAGAAGGACAGAGCCGCACTGGGAAAGGTTGTTTTCTCAAGGTCATACAAAACAGAGGACAGGGAAAGACTAATAGCCATACCGACACAGCTGGAATGAGGGGATGTGGTGCTCACACATGCACTCACATATCACATTTTATTATCAATTTGTTTTTAATGATATATAGTGCCATGTGTCTGTGATATGATATCACAGCCTTGCAGATTTATATCAGTGAGCTGAATCAGGAAATGTGCTGATTGGAGGTCCAGATCAGCCAGCATCAAAATTGTAAAGGTCATTACAATGACATTACCCTTTTCAGAGGAGGAAAGCCAGAAATGTCAAATCGCTCAGCAGCCACATCATCGCTCAAATAGAGCAGAATGCTAGGCACTGGAAAAGCTCATGTTCGGACGGAAGTAATGTAAGAAGATACCTATCTAAGTGACATCTTAATGAAGAAAACTATAAGTCAGCTTTTTTGGCAGATTTTGTGAAAAATACACAGATTGGGTGAATCTGAGCCACAGTACATTACCACTGTTTAAACATCATTCAGTCTGCGGGGTGTACAACAGACGTACATATTTGGAGCATTTGGAATTCATGGTGCAACAGAAGTCACATTCCATGTTTTATTACTGCTACAATAACTGTAGTGCTAACAGGTCAAATAGACTTTAATAACTACCCTTGGCTCAAACCATTGCTCTCATAAGCTAGTCTACCTACTGTTTGTTAAAGTGAGACAGCTGGGTGAGGGCTCATCTCCGCCAAATATCATTTACGGGAGCAGCTACCCACCTGGACTCTGATCAAGACAGTGCTTGTCTAACTGTTTAAATGAGGCTCAAGACAGGAAAATGTTCCCTTTAGTCCAGTGGCATAAACTAAAGATAAAGTAAAACAAGTAACAGGGAAAATTGTAAGAAAGTTATCTATTTAACATAAACTTTACTAACTCCCTTTAAGCCTTTAGCGCACAGGAATCTTTCAACGTGCACACTTCAACTCCCAACTCGCACACCTCCGACAACATGACTCCCTATATCATTAGAGATGTCTGCTTAAAAATATGCCTGCCGGGAGAGCCACAGGAACAGCGTCTGAATCAGCCCAGGCATGCGTTAAAACAAAGTGGCAAAGAACACAGCAACACACACAGTTGAAACAAAGGCACTCACTTTCACCTCACAGTCTCACACACAAATTAGAAGATGATTACAAGCTGACACGCGTTGCTTATTAAACACGTACACGCATGTTCTTTTTCATCATGTCCTCAAAGCAGCACACCCAGGGTTGTTTGCTGGACTTACAGTGGCAAGCTCCCATCCCCAGTCGAACAAGCTGACTATGTAGAGCACAGAGACCACACAGAATCCCCTCTCTCAGACATGGCCACTATGAGACCAGAATACTAAAGAAGAAAGTGCTTGGTGACTAAGAACAAAACAACCCTGTTAAATATCTAAAAGCTAAACTATGCTGTAAACCAAGCGCCAAATAGTTTATGTGTGTCTTAACTTTAATGGCATTTGTGTAATGACCCGTTTGCTTATCATTGGTAAGCAGGTTTAAAGGAATGGTTATGAAGAAACGTGGAACAAATACCTTAAAGAAATACATATGGACTCAAAGAATTCTGTCAGAATTATTTGTATACATTTGCAATTTATCAGTTATCAGAAGGAAGGTATGAAACCATCTTGGTCACTTCTTTTAGCAGGACATGGAGCCTGGTCACGTGACCAAACATCCTATAATGACACAGTCCAGACCAAACACTTTGACCTTCCCTGTCATCACTCACGCCTGCCATATTAATGGCACACTAATATTGTAATTACACCGATAACCATGATTTAAAGGTTCATCCCAATGCTCAGTATTGTGTGGAATGGAAACTAAACAGAACACACTATTAATAAAGAGCAGCTGGTGTCCAATTTGAAGTAGGGATTAGTGATCATGATTGACCTCTCCAAAATCCTGTGCAGCGAAAAGCTTAAACTCACCCAAAATCATGATGTGTGTTGCCTTTGGTGTCCCTGGGTTGACAAGTGTTCCCTCACTGCCCCCGTGTCGCCTGATTTCGCCAAGGGACAATGGCTCCAAAATCTCTTTTCAGAGTTCCTCTCCACACTCCAGAAAGAGGCAACTCAGAGAGGCAGCACTAGATGTGAGGAGAGACTGCTGCTGCTGCTGCTGCTGCTGCACATGCCGTCCCTTGCGTCTGCTCTCTCCAGGTGAAAAGCTGAGTGTGTGCGTGTGTATGAGAGAGAGACAGAGAGAGCACAAGTGTGTGTGTGTGTGTGTATGTGTGTGTGGATGAGGGGGGTCCAGCGTTTCTGCAGTTGTGGCTCAGGTAAGCCTGAGGACAGTATGGAGGGGGTTAGGAGCAGAGAGGACAGAGAGAGAGAGAGAGAGAGAGAGAGAGAGGAGAGAGGAGAGAGAGAGAGAGAGAGAGTAGAGAGGAGTGGAGATGAGAGAGGAGAGAGAGATGAGAGAGAGAAGAGAGAGACGAGACGATGAGAGAGAGAGAGAGAGAGAAGGGGGAGCCTAAAGTGTGGCAGCCAATCACAAGGGGAGGCTACAAAGCCAAGATCTTCTTCTCCACAGCAGTGAGGAGGAATTGCAGTGGTCTCCAACATACAGCTGTCAAGCGGTTTCTTCTTAACTGTGTCATTTCACAGCGAGCTCCAGGGGAGAGGTCTTCAATTCACTGTAAAGCCGACATCTGATTTTGGTCTCTCTCAGTTAAACACAAACTCCCTTTCCCACTCTGGCGGTTTCTCCTCTCGATGCTTTCTGTTTTTGAGGTGGGTATAACCATAGACTGGTATAACCTACAGGCACCTTACATGCCTCTGCTTTGATTGGTGGCAGCCTCGACCAATGGCAACAGCAGCAGACACTTGTCATCATGCAGAGTGGAAGTCATGAAGGAGCGACGGAGCTTGACAGGAAATGTCTTCTCCCCCAACCACTGTTTATCCCTTTCATTTCCCCTATTTTCTCCGCGATCTCCGCCTGATGGAGAGCTTGATTGTCAGATCTGTTTATGTGTTGTTCTTAATCCAACCTCTCTGTCCTTTGACTCCATGTGTATGAGGACTTGTTAAAGGATTAACCTTTTATCTGTCTGGCTCTGTCCTTCTCCCTTTTCCTCCCTCCATTTCTTAACCTGCCCAGGCAAGGTTACGCATTTTACCAACCACTGTTTTCATCAAAGGGATGGAATTTAGACTGGGAGAGGAAGGGGGGCGGCAAGTAGAAAGGAGAGATGGAATAGAAAGCGACAGAGCGGAGGAAGCAGAATAAGGAGGGGCAAAGATTAAACTAAATACAAAGTGACAGAGGAATGAAGAGACCTGGAGTGACAAGAAAAGACGACTGGGAGGATGCGATACAGAGACTAAGACAGACCGAGTCGGACACAGCAGACGGGCTGCAGAGAATTAAACTGTGGACCAAAGCAATGCAGCAACTAATTGGAGAGTAGCTTTACAGTCAGCTTCTTATGGTCCACTTCCTCCACACCAAGAAACCACTCAAACAACGTCTGCTGTCATGCCCAAGCATGACTCTTTCACTCTCCAGTTTCCCCTGTGAAGAGGCAAGATAGCCAGAGAGAGACCTTTGAAAATCACACAGCCACGATGTAATTGAGGAGCTCAATGCTTAAGAAAAGGCTTAACAAAGCTGTCAAAAAATTAATCCCCTTGGGCGGGCATGCTTGCAAACACACAGATACAAACACGTGAGCCCTGGGGCTACATAAAATGCTGCCTGATGTTTATATAGCCTCCTCTTGTCCTGCTCTCTCTTTCTCTTTTCCATCTCTAGCCCCCCACCCTTCTCATGCTCTCAGGCTGAGGCTGTGAGTCACAGGGTGTTGGAGTGAATACTAAGGAGGCTGGCTGACACCTCCAATACCTCTCCGAACAGCAGCTCTACTGCACATATTTACACCGTTGTATGTAAACATTGGTAGACTTAGGGGCCACAACACCCACACACAAATCTTGCAGATTATAAACTTATATGGTGCTCTTTAAAAAACCTAACCCATTCAAACCGCGACCAGTGTCTAACACCTGCAGCAGTAATAAGCAGATTTACATAGGAAATAATGAACTCACAGAAGTGGAACACATATTTGATAGTGCCAAAGGATAAACAACACAGATCAGAAAAGGAGGTTGTGCCTGTGGCTCCTGGGATCAAACTCACAAACACACAGTGTCTTCAGGAAATGGACCAGGCGCTGAGAATATTAGTTTTTGAAAATGGGTCACTTCCAGCTGGAACTAAAGTTATCATCAATACAGCTATGCGTGCAAGTCTTTCCATGAGCATTGTGTGTGTGTGTGTGTGTGTGTGTGTGTGTGTGTGTGTGTGTGTGTGTGTGTGTGTGTGTGTGTGTGTGTGTGTGTGTGTGTGTGTGTGTCAGCAAAAGAGCTGAGATAGGGTTTCCTCATTAGTTGTGTTGGTATCAATAATTCAGAGCGGTCCTTGTTGGCGTTCAATGGGCCGAGTGCTAATGTGCTGTCGGGCCAACGGGGGCCCAGGGCCCCGTGCCACTTTAATGGATGTCATGATGAGAGGGTGAAATCGGAGCAAGGAGATCCTGTATCATCCATAGGTAAGAACGGGGAGGGGGTCAGAGTAGAGAAGTGAGGAGACAGGGGTGGGGGTGAAGGCCCCTGGTGGGAGGACAGATGGCATTATGGGATAGGTAAATTAGAGAAGTGATGGAGATAAACAGAAAGAAGAAAAAGGGAAGAGGGGAGGACATTTGACTATTTGGTACCTCCATTTGCCATTGGCTACAGATCGATGGATGATGTGCAGAACTCTTTCTACTTTGAATGGGCAGACATCATGAGACGACCTATATACTAAGTGGCCACAGGGGGTATATCTCAAATGAATAATGAACTAATATTATTTAATTTACATTCACTTGACTTGCTAGAGCTACCTTGCTCACAAATGCCTTCAAACGTGAGTAGAGTATCTGGTAGCGCCTTTTTTTTTCCAGGTCTGTAGCCAAAAGAATTATCAGGAAAATATTAAAGAACAGCTCGAAACACTAATTTATTATAATTTATGTTGAACTGTATGATGAACAAAGACAAATTGTCCATGTTTTGCTCGTTCAGCTAACCTGCTCTTCACTTAACACAATATTATGTTAGCTATCCAGCTATTCTTTGTAATTAATTGACATTTTGTATGAAAGTACAAACTTACTTTTTTTATTTCAGGAAACTTTTAATGAAATGTGTAAGATTTCTATTTACTATTAAAAACTAGTAAAACAAAAACGCTGTAGGCCTGTAGCAAAATACAATATGTTGGCCCTGAGATGAAAATCACTGGACAAATCACAATAACAAAATAGAATGGACGGACAAATTAACCTGTATATCACTAAGCTTTAGGGGACGCCAGTACAAGAAAGGCTCCAACTTTAAGACAACAATATGAAATATTCATATAAGTCTTTCATTTTCTTTCTTATTATGCTATGTCCAATATGGTTGAGGTTTGCACCTCTGGGCCATCATATTGGATGATTGGGAGGGAGGTGGAGGAAGTCCAATGGAATCCACTAACGTACATGACTTTCTCACCTTGCTGCTTGAGCATGACAATACTGGTCAGCAACCTTTTCACCCACAAACCACCACACACACACACACACACACACACACACACACACACACACACACACATGCAGACAGGCTTGGTTTTGTTATTTGTGTATTGACTTATCCTCTGGAGGCTTATCCTACCATGACCTTAAGTACCACATGGCCTTTACTCTACCTTTGCCCTCAGTTTAACATAAACCTAATTCACTAATACAAAATGGGTCACCCTTGATAGAAGCAGCTTTTGTCCAGAGATTGAAGGTAAACTCCTACTGTTTGAGTAATACAAGCGAATATATATAAGTATAAAAGCAAAGAGAGAGGACTCAACAGTCTGGAAACGTCTGCTGAGTATGGATGGTGATATGTGGTTAACTGTGCTGCCCTCTGCTGGTCTACACATGTCAACACAGAATGAATTCACTGTAAGCAGACTATTGAAATATGTCTAAATATTACAGCTTTAGTGATCCTGGTATAAGGCAGCAGTCTTGAAAAAATGTAAACTGAGAGGCTAGTCTGTTTTCTAGAGTCATGTCAACACACGGTTAAATAAGGAAACCAAACAGACGAGGCACAGCTGGTACAGCATTGATGTGCTGTCAGACTGGAACAGAAATACCTTACTCATGCAGAAAACTATCTTTACATCCGACTTGACAAAGCCGCTGAGGCCAGTATCCTATCTGTAACTAATGTTATGGGCAGAATGGTGAATTGGGCAAAGTGCACTGAGCCTGAGTGCAGCAGGTCAAATGTGAAAGGATAACTGCTGAGTGTGAAGGAGTAATAAGGACTCTGCTGATGTGCAGCAACAGCCTGGGATAGATTTATCAAACCTGAGGGAGAAAGACATCAAACTCCTTCATTCATAATTCTGTGATCTGTCTTCTTCATTCTTTCCTGCAGAGAAAAATACACAGTAAATCTACACTCACTGAAATCTGCTAGAGAGACTTTAACTCACTTCCTCACAACAGCTAAAACGCCGTGTCAAATGCGATCGCTGTAGATCATAAATTCTGGTCGTATTTCATAAGCCCGGGCCCGCAGGCGGTATGTGGCTTTCCAGAATTGTTAGTTCACCCTTTTCTTCTTCTGTAGTGTGTTTGTTTGATGTAATAAAAAATCTCCCGTCCACACCCAGGTCAAATGCTTTCCTTTGGGTATCTGCTGGCACTGTGGTGGGGAATGTAGAGAGTGCCTATGAAGGTCAAAGGTGAGGAGGTAAGGCAGGCCCCAGGCACCAGCATACCTGCACATCCCCGCATAATGTGGCAACGCATCACCAAGAGCTACCACACAATAAATCACACTTCATTAGATATTTAAATCTTAAGAAACGTTAAAGGAATCATCCTCATATATTCACCAAATATTGAGCCTGTTGTGATCACGCTTTATCTAATGGTTACATTGGGAGCACGCATAGCATATAACAAGCCAGCTCAGTACAAATGGAAGGACCTCTGCCTTCCCCTTGAAGTGGCCTGAGCCTGCAAGTCTGACAGCTAGCTGTTGAGCATATCAGTTTTCAGCTGTGAGGGATAATCATCTCACTAAATGTAGACTATTGATCAGGTGTGGACATGTGCAGGAAATGTGGCAAGCTGTACAGTTTGTCTGCTGTGCATTCCTTTCCCACCAGGAAAAACTAATAAATCAGGATAAACATGTTTCGATTGTTACACGTGGAATTTTTGGTTCCTTATAAACTAACTCAGGATATGGTTATAAATTAAAACATC